CCCAGGGGAGGGGAGGAGTTCTGATGTGGGCAAGAGAGGAAGGGTGGAAGCAGAGTGGACCCTAGGTCAGCCCCAGCAGGGGGAAGGGGAGGGGAGCTACCATTCACTGGGCATTTCCCTTTCGGTATCTCATTACATCCTCACAGCAATCCTATGAGGTGGTACTAAATACCATCGCCGTTTTGCAGACAAGGACCAGAGGCTCCCAGAGAGGCAGTGATCTGCTCAGTCCACCTGGCTTTGAGGTAAGGGGCTGAGATTCCAATCTATATCTATGTGATGACAGAGGAGTCAATAATGTTTTTCCGCTGCACCATGATGCCAGTTGTCAATGATGACAATGTGATCTATGGGGCATTCCTTCTACATGCCCCGGGCATCTTTCTTCAGTCTTGGGGAAACCAGACCAAGCCTGTGTAGACACCAGGGGTTCGCGATAAGTAGCAAAATGGAAAAAGCTGTATGATACAATACTGAGCAATAAACATAGAATATGTAATTGTATCAGTGATGAAAGCAGCCAAAAAAAAAAAATTACACTACTGACAATGGCAGGAAAGGGCAAGGAGCAATGGAAACAGATAACGTGTGAGTGGGTGCTCTTTCCTTTCTCTTAATTTTGGGGTTTCTGTTATCATTGTATTATTTGCACAATAAAACCCAATTTACAATGAAAGACGGAAAGACTGAGAAAATATGAGCCCCTGGGGTAGGCCCACGGCCATGCCTTCAAGTCCAGCTGCAGTTCCAAGCCTTCCAAGCCATTCTGCCGGCAGCACTCCTAAAAGGAGCTGGCTTCTTCTGGACAAAGGAGGGAAGGAGAGCAACTTCGCGTGTGACTCACGCCAAGGGGCTTCAAGCCTTTGCCATCGCGCTCTAGATATTGGTGTCACTGCTACATCCCAGGGGGAGCTTTCCCCTGAGCTGGGAAGGGTGGCTGTGACCAGTGCTCTCCAGCCCCAGCCTCTTTGCCTCTGATGGTTGTTGTGGTTCCCCAGTGGGCTCTCCTGGCTGGGGGTTAGGTTCTGCCTTGCTGGAGGAAGGGCTAGCATGAGATTCTCTCTGATTCAGGGACAGAGGCCAAGGTGACCCTAGCCAGCAAAAAGAGCAGTAAGATAGCAACATCCATGACTGGGTGTCAGAGCTGAGGCCCAGTGATTTTTCTTTTGATCATGCTCAACACCCCCTACCTCACTTGACTTCCTTGTGACCTCTAGACCACCAATCCTGTGACAATTTCATGCATTTGCCTGTGCTGTTCTCTCAATCTGGAGTGCCCTTGCTTATGCTTCCTGACAGAGCTAAACCCTGCCCATCCTTTCATACCACTTCCTTGATGAAACTTTCCCCAGTTTCCTTTTGGGGAATGAATCATTCCTCCTGGGGCTCCCACAGCGCTTTATTTGTATCTTTCCTGTGGCAATTGTATTTTTCTGTAGCATGTTATAGTTAATCATGTCCACGTCTGTTTCTCCCACTAAATGGTGAGCCTCTCGAGGTGGCCAAGGAACTTGTCTTACCCAATTCTGACTCCTCATAGCGCGTGGCCAACCTCTGGCATCTGGTAGGCGCTCAGTCAATGTGTGGAATGACATTAAATTACAATGGATGAGTTCTTCTACTTTCTACGTCATAGACTCTCTGGGAAAGCTGTTGAGATGGTAGACAGATGACCGATTGGTTTTATACTATTTCTTTCCTGTGCATTTTGAAAGAGGCAGGAAGAGGAAGAGAGTTAAAGCTATCTGTGGATCCATATTCCAGAGATTTCAGCCAGGGATCCTGAGAGGGGGTAATAATATATATAATAGCTAACATGTGCAGAGACTCTTACTTATTTATACTTTCACACCCATTAACTCTGCTGGGTCTCACCAGGACTCTAGGAAGTAGGCTGAGTGGCAGCATTTGGCTTGTCCTAATGTTACGGTCAAGAAAACCAAGGCTCAGAAAAACAAAGTGATTTGCTCACAAATCCATCAACTCAAAGAGCTGGGACTCAAACCTAGATCTGCTGACTCCAAATCCCATGCTCTTGATATTGTAGAGGTGACAAGGACGAAGGCTCTCCTCCTGATAAACATTTGCAGAAGGAAACCCATAGCTTAAGCCTTGGTAAGGTGCATCGGCATCAGGCCCAGTTTTCCCCCTCGTGCGTGTTTATCTGCTGATCTAGGGGTTTAGCTCCTCAAGGGTAAGGACCACACCTATTCCTTTATTTCTTTTCCCCCAAAGCCTCAGGCCTTTGGCAAACCCCACACTTTTGCTGGGTCTTTGTTTCCCTGTCTGTAAAATGAGGGGGCTGAGCTAAAAGTTTAAATTGGGTCGCACTCCCACCGGTGCCCAGCGCAGAGCCTCGCCCCGCAGTGCCCACCGCCTTCCCCATGGACGACTCCCCAGCTCCAACACTAGAGGCCTCCAGGACTCCAGCTGACATGATGGAGTGTATACTCCGCACGTTGCAGCCTCTTCCCAGGCTGGCTGCAGAAACTGAGCCTCCTCCCGATAGCCGGGCCGCTCCGCTCACACGGATCAAGTTGGGAGCCTCATTAGTCATGTCAGATGACTCAATTAACACTTGGGGCCGGCAGAGCCAGTTCATCAAAAGCTCCTATGTGCCTGGCTCCGTCACTGCAGCTGAGGAACTACTGTATGTGGGGCAGGCAGCACATCAGAGGGGCAGCGCCAGAGGGCCTCCAAATTGGTTTTGATTAATTGCATAGACAGGTCTTTAATTGGTGCCAGGGTAGCAGCCAGAGAACTTATGGGAAAGCAGGATGTTATGCTTTCATTCCCTGAAGTCCCATAAAGCAGTGAAAGATGAGGAACAGAATCACTGCTCGTTGAAAATTTATTGACCGTGCAGACCCAGAAAACACAAATAACTATCTGAATCGAAACCTAACCTCATTTTCCCAACTCATTGGAAGCCAGGCATGTTCCTCTCTGCACCCCGGCCTGCCTGCTGAGATGGATAACTGCGCAAAAGGTGTGATTTCTAAGAAATGAGGGCTTGAGTACAGAGACAGCATACTTGGCTTACCCAGATGAGCGCAGAGGTATCTGGGAAGGGCCCTCCCCTCAGAAATGTCTCTCCCTCCAGCCCAGCACCGTCCTATGAATTGATATTAGAGGCTGATTCACTTTGGGTAAAACCTTCATTCATACTTTCTTTTCCACCTCTTGGAGATTTAAGACACATGGACTGAGTAGGTATTCAATACAAAACACCGTTCTGGTGTCAGGAGGCATATAGAAGGAAGTGAAGTATAGACCCTTCTGTCAAGGAGATGGTTATCTAGAAGAAAAGAGAGGCCAGTTCCACAGATGAACTAATACATGGTGAGCACATCACACAGAAGGTGAAGCTTTGGGATTTGGCACTGAGGACTTGGGTTTAACTCCTAGCTCTGATTCTTATTACTGAGCCACCTCAGAAGTCACTTTGGGGGGCGCCTGGGTGGCTCCGTCGGTTAAGCGTCTGCCTTTGACTCAGGTCGTGATCTTGGGGTCCTGGGATCGAGCCCCATCCTGGGCTCCCTGCTTGGCAAGGAGCCTGCTTCTCCCTCTCCCTCTGCCTGCAGTTCCCCCTGCTTATGCTCGCTCTCTCTCTCAAATAAACAAAATCTCAAAAAAAAAAAGTCACTTTGATACTCTGAGTTTTAACTACAAAATAGGATAAATACCACTTACTACACATGGCAGCCATGAGGCTTGTAAGAGCAGAGTTGAAAGTCCCCAGCACAGGGCCTGGCACTGATCAATAAGTGGTTGCTAATTCTGATTGTTACCAGAGAGGTTCTGATAGAGGACCGTGTGAGAGCTCATTTATTTGAGGAACAAATAAATGTTTCCTGATTACAGAATCTGTGCCAGGCTCCGTGCCGGGCATTAGGAGTTTAGGAGTTTAGATAGGAAGCTCTGCCCTTGATGAGACTGGGGTCCATGGGGGGAGTAGCAATGCTATAGTACAGAAGGAATGGCAAATTGTTATGGGTGTGCTGACAGAAGCCTACTCAGTGACAATGGGGAGGAAAGGAGACAGTCACTTCAACCTGGGGAAGTCAGGATACATTTGCCTAAAGAGGTGATGCTTGAGCCAAGTCCTAAAAGAAAAAAGATTTTCATTTGCAGATAAAGCAAGAGAAAGCATTTTATACACAATGCCAGTTTCTCTCTTTTTGTTCCTAGAGCAAGCAAAGGTTTTCCCCTTGGATCTTGGAATCAGCTGCTTTCTTTGTACGGAAAGTTCTTCCCTTAGATATTCCCAAAGCTGCCTCCTTGTTGACCTGATATTTTCTTATTTGTTCCTTTGTTTATTGTATGTCTCCCCCACTAGAATGACAGGTCCATGAGAACATGAGATCTTGGCTGTCTTCTTCTCCACTCTGTTACATCTAGAACGTTGCCTGGCACAGTGTAGGTGTTGAATATATGTTAGTTGCATGAATAAACAAACAAAAGGAAACACAGGAGGGAATACTACAATCAAGGAACTATAAGCTCAGTGTGTGGTGCACAGCAGGCGCCGACTTTCTCTCTCATAAAGTTGAACAATGACTTACGCCTGAAGCATAGCCCAGAGGAATTGAGGTGGGAGGTCCTCAATGGAAGAGGTGGCCTCTGAGCTGTGCCCTGAAGCCACAGAAGGATGACAATGGGATGGGAATGTTGGGAAAGGGATCGGCAAGATTAAATGAGATAATGTACAAATCCTTTCCAACCTTGAGCTTCTAAGGATTTCTCGCAAATAAATCATCTCTTGCCACCTTTCCTGGTCCCCTCACCCACATCCCCCCTTTCCACTCCACCCTGTCTGGAGGCTGTAAGGGCATCTGATACACCATTTCCCGCCAATGTAAATCACGGGCTGATGTGTGATGCTCAGTCTCGGTTTTTACCATGCCCCAGGCGGAGATGGTCCCATAACTCAGGGTTGAGGCCCCAAGCAAAGCCAGCCTTTCCACAGGGTGGCAAATAAGGGGGAACTGTTTACACACCAGCACCTTCCTGGCCCTACTCCCGGATAATTTTATGTCCTCTGGTCCTGGATCTGCTCCTTAGTTGGATGCACCTCAGTTCACTTGCTGGAGCACGGATGTGTGACTGTTTAACTGCTGCTGCTTCCTGTCCCAGGGATCCTGGGCTTCAGGGAGCATGGGAAAGAGACAAGAAAGAGATCTTTATATGAGGTAAGCTTTGACAGTACTAAAAACAGCCAAAAAGTAACTTACACTTACACAGTGCTTAACAATTTACAAAGCCCTAGAGAACTCCTATTCATCCTTCAAGACCCTGTACAAATGTTACCTCTTTTCACCAACCTCAACTCTCCCAGGCAGAGCTAATCCTTCCCTCCACACTTTGTAAAACCTCCATTACATCCCTAACTACCTTGTAATAAGTTTATTTGTGTACATGTCTCATTTCCTCCATTAAACCATCAGCTCCTCAGGGGCAGATCTCTTCTCTCCTAGTAAAACTCATTTCTTTCTTTCTTAAAAAGTAATTTTCATTATACATATTTTTCTAATTATAAAATTAATACTTAGAGTTACAATGATCAAAAATTGTATATATAAAAGTATAATGAAGAAAATTTAAGGGCACCTGGGTGGCCCAGCAGGTTGGGTGTCTGATCCTGATCTTGGCTCGTGAGTTCAAGCACCATGCTGGGCTCCACACTGGGTGTGGAAACTACTTGAAAAAAAAAAAATGTTATCAGTGCTTTTATCTGGGTGATGAAATTATAGGTGACTTTAAATTTTTTCTTTTTTCTTTTTTTAAAAGATTTTTATTTATTTATTTGACAGAGAGAGACACAGTAAGAAAGAGAACACAAGCAGGGGGAGTGGGAGAGGGAGAAGCAGGCTTCCCGCTGAGCAGGGAGCCCGATGCGGGGCTCGATCCCAGGACCTGGGGATCATGATCTGAGCCGAAGGCAGATGCTTAACAACTGAGCCACCCAGGCACCCCTCTTTTTTTTTCTTTTAAAGGAGGCTGCACACTCAGAGTGGAGCCCAATGTGGGGCTTGAGCTCACAATCCTGAGATCAAGATCTGAGCTGAGATCAAGAGTCGGACACCCAACAGACTGAGCCACGCAGGTGCTCCAGCCCTGATAACATTTTGAATATAACTTGAGTCTATCTTGAGCCCTTTTTTAGCATATGGAAAGTAAAAATGGGTCTATATAATGCATGTAGTTTTAGTCTTATCACCTATTCTATTGTGAACATCTTTAAACATCACTGACGATTCTTCAAAATCATCATTTTAAATGACTGCATTGTTTCATTTAATGAATATATCACAATTTACCGACAATTTCCCCATTGTGGGACATTTGGGTTAGTTGCTTCTTTTTACTATTTTACAAATAAAATGAGTAGCTATATACATAAATATTTGTCTGCATCTTTGACTTATTTCCCTAAGAAAGATTCCTAGAAAGGGAATTTCTAGGTCAACTGGTTTCAACTCTTTTAAAGGTTCTTGATGCTTCATGACAAATTGCTCTGAGAAAGTGATGCCATTTACAGTTTCACCAATATATGAGTGGGCCCATGTCCCAGTGCCCTGACCTGCATTAAGCATCATCCCACTGGTATCTTTACCAAGTCCAGTGGTCTTCTCACAATGCCTTTCAAGGTAATTTTTCTTAAACACAGCAGAAATTATACAGCCAAACTCAGAGTTGTCTTCTTCCAAGATATCAACCTGGGAGGGTATATTTATTGCAACAGTGCTTCAGCTACTTTAAACATTCTGTAATTCGATTTGAAAATTGCCTGGGAAGCAGACAACCTGGGCTCTTGTATCTAAATTGTACAATGCTGTCTTTGGAGAATGATTTCCTTTTTGGCAACGGTCATAAGTCATTTAGAACTCATGGTAAATGAGATGAGGAGCTGCAGCTGGAGTCAGGGTCGGAAATGAGGTATAATTGGCCAGTAACGATTGAGGGCTTGTCATGACTTGCAAAGGGGCGTCCCACTGGAGCGCTGGGCATCATCAGCACAGGTGCTGAGCCTCCCAGTGTGACTGTTCCAAAGTGGCTGCACTCGGGCGGAGGCCTGGGGCTAGCACATGGACTTACGGAACCTCTTCTCGTGACTTCATGGTTACTCCATGTGCAGCCCCGGGGTTAGGCACCAACTTATTTTAGAGCTAATCCCTTTCCACCTTCTCTCTTCGTCAGGCCCACTTGGGCCTGACATGTCTCCAAGACCAAGAGCTTCAGGTCCAGGTTAGTGGGGAGGGAGCGCATGGCGTGGCAATGGACAGAGCCCTCAGAATGCGGTCAGAAAGAACTGGGTCTGAGGCCTGACTCTGCCTATTACCGGCCGTGTTAGGTCTCATTTGTAAAAGAGCTTACTTCACAGGATTGTTAGGAGAAATGGAGAACACATACGACCACACACAGACACAGACACAGATAGGCAGACAGACAGAGGCATGTAAAACATGTATTGAGCACGTCTCCTCTGCCAAATCCTGCCAAGTGCCATGTTTTATTTTATTTTTTGAAGATTTTATTTTACTTATTTGAGAGAGAGAGAGAAGGAGCCAGGGGAGGGGCAGAAGGAGAGGGTGAAGCGGACTCCCCGCTGAGCAGGAAGCCTGATGGCAGAGTTAGATCCCAGGACTCCAGGATCATGACCCGAGTGGAAGGCAGAAGTTTGACTAAGTCACCCAGATGCCCAAGTACCGTGTTTTATACGCATGCAGCACACCTGTCGTTGGCCATCCAGAAACCATTTCTCCTCTACTACCTCCTACCACCTCTCCCTTGTTGTCAAGGGTGGTCGTGTGGCCCAGTTCTGGCCAATGAGATTTAGGTAGCACTCCGCTGGGAGTTACTGGGGGAGATTTGCTTTCCTGATGAAACAGGACTGCTGAGTCTGAACCGTCCTCTCACCCCCACCGCTTCCTGCCTTGAACTTGGAGGTGAAGGCTGAGCACTGCAGTCATCTTGTACTCAAGATGGAAAGGACAAAGGAGCACCTCTGGAATTCTTGGTATGTCAGAAAAACCTATTTGTTGAAATCATTGCTCATCATCATGACTTGCAACTGGAAATATTCCAATGCACATCCACAAAAAGTGTCCATACATAATAGATGCTCAATAAAGGGTTCCTATTTACATACAATCCCTCCCTCTAAAAGAACTAATGAGATTAATGATGGTTATCTCATATTTATGCAGTACTTGGCAATTTTCCTAAGATTTTCACAACCATTTTTTTCATTTGATCCTCACAACTCTGCAAGGAAGGCAACTTTTTATCCCAAAGATTCTTTTCAATTACAAAAGGATATATAAAAAGTATCCTAGTATGCTTATATGTTACATACCGACTTGTTTTCTCTCTTTTCTTCTTCCTTCCTTCCTTCTTTCCCTCCCTCCCTCCTTCATGCCAGTCCCGGGTCTGTTTCTCTCAGACCTACTTCCTAGCCCTCTCCGCTCTGTTCTGTTCTGTAACACAGGGAGGTAGATCCATTTAGCCTGTGAATCCAGGCTCCAAGACATCTGGCTTCCAGCTGTTTGGCCAAAGGGAGGTACTAGCCAGAGACTGGGAGTAGGTGTATGGGGGTGTTTCTTCTCCTTGCCATCTGCCCTAGGTAGCATCTCTGGCTACTCATCATCCATGGCTCCTGCTCTCACAAACAGGCCTGCTAGGGTTCAAGTTTTTTATCACCTGGCTCCTGGGCCCTGGTGACACTGGCCCCCCACTCTGCCCCTTTGCCTTATGGGTGGCAGTGGTTTCCTGCTCTTGCTAAGTTCCAGGATGCCTCTCTGTCTCCTATCCCATCACCTGTGTAACCAGTCAATCTCTTTAAGGCCCCTCTACTCTACAAATTCAAAGTATCTTCTTTTTCCTCAGACCTGAACTGATCTCCATCAATCTACCACACCTTTGCAGGGCACCCACTCCAAGGCCTCCATGCAAGATTCACGGGGAAGGAGCTGCTCCCAGGTTAGGGGGCTAAGTGAAAAGCCTCACAGTATGCCGGCCTCTGCTGGGACATCCCCAAACCCAGCAGAACTTACAGGGAAGTCCTGCCATGACCTGGGCTTCCTCCTGCTTCCAGGGGCAAGCCAAAAACAATGTACAGGATCCTTGTATGTCCCCTTCACTGTCTACTGCACAAGTATGCTTGAGGATGCTTCTGGACGGTAGGGGAGATGCCTCTTGGCTTTCACATCCTCCCAGCCAAATGCTCCTACCAGTGGCTCTCAGGTTTAAGACAGTCTAGCTTCCACGGCTTGCTTTCTACTTCCTCCTCTTCTCTCCCAAACAGCCTTACCTAGGAAGCAGGAGGAATCTTATCCAGAGTATTTGCTTCAGCAAAATGCCATGGCAGAATTGCCCATAAAGGCTAACAGTGGAGAGACGGCAGAGGTACCAAGCTACCTTTGAGATGCCTAGATGTCTTGCGCGGGATTTGTGAGCAGACTGAACACAAAACCTATTTCCCCACTTAAAATTTTATGGCTTTGGCAATTTAGACAGTCATTCTGAGCTTCACTTTTCTTATCTATACAATGGAACCAATGTCTTCCTCACAGAATTATTGTTTCTGATCTGGCAACTTCCAGAAACATCCCACCCCCTGCTACAGACACAGAGAAATTCTGGGTGAACTAGAACAGAAATGTTTTATTTTGGGGCACCTGAGTGACTCAGTCGTTAAGCGTCTGCCTTCAGCTCAGGTCATGATCCCAGGGTCCTGGGATCGAGCCCTGCATGGGGCTCCCCGCTCGGCGGGAAGCCTGCTTCTCCCTCTCCCACTCCCCCCGCTTGTGTTCCCTCTCTCGCTGTGTCTCTCTGTCAAATAAATGAATAAAATCTTTAAAAAAATGTTTTATTTTTGCCACCAAATTTGAAAAACGTTAAGAGAAATCCTCAGATGTCAGAAATGAAAACGAAATGAAAATGCAAAGCCAGAACAGGGTACAGGTGACGCGCCTTAGCAGCACACAGGGATCTCACACTTGGCTATAGAGCCTGAGAGCTGCAGGCTAGGGTTCCACTGCACACCAAGGAGCAGGAGGTGGGGCTTCAGTCCCAGCCAGGTGAGGAAGCTGGAACAGAGCGCTGCATAAAGCCCTGACATGGGAAGCTCTGCCCCTGTCCACG